CCAACTAATAATAAATATAACTGCGATGATTTATTATTAGTTGGAAGAAGAAGAAGAAGCTCTTATAGCCCCTGTAGCTTGAGGACACGCCCTTAACTTTGGAAACGGTGCAGTGGGTTCGCCTGCTTCCCTTCAGCTGCACATCACACAGAAGCGGCTGTAATCGGAATCAATTTATTTGTCCCTTTTCCTCGTCTCTTTCCACTGTGGTGACGTCAGTCGTCGCGTGGAGCGCAGTCAGCCGCGTTTAGCTCCCTGCGGTGCGGAGGAGACAGAGGGAAATCCTCCTGCCGGAGAGCGGACACACCTCGGGATGGATGCGCTGAAATCTGCCGGCAGAGCCATCATTAAGAGCCCCGGCGTCCCGCGACACACCTGGGGAACTTCAAAGCATGAAAGTCAGTGAGTGAAACTGTGTGTTAGGAAAGATTACACATATGTAATAACAAGGAGACTTTCTGCCTGCAAATGTTGGACTGCCATCCTTTATTATTGTTTAGTTGTTATTTCTGTCTTCCTGTTTAATTGTGTTGCTTTATTTAATATAAACAATTAGATTTCTTATTTCTAATAGAAAAGAGACAATAGCATGAACCAAAGGGGAAAAATCACAAATTTAAACACCTGAGAGATAAAAGTACAAAGATAAGCATTTGTATTTATTTATTGTATTTATTTAATTTCATGCATTAAAATGACTGAACAGGACTGCATTTTGTTACATTTAAACTTAGGAGGTCTAAGTTTCTGTCTCTTTTCTAAATTTATTCGTCTTTTTACTTGAGGAACCATTTATTAACTCTGCTAAGGATATGTAACCTCCAAGCTCTGGATTATCTTCGTGTTTTAATTGGATTTTAGGTGCTTTGATTGGCTTTAAGTTTCTCATCCAGAAAACGTATTCTTAGTCTGATGTATCCGATCCAAAACCAGCTTTGATGTTTGTTTGGGATCCTTGCTTTATTTAAAAACCCAGAAGTGACCAAATACTCTCATCCAGCTGCTGAGGTAAATATTCAGTCTCATATACTGTATGGTGCTGACACCACCATGCTTGACTGCTGTCAAAGCAAAATCAGACCCCAGCTTTTTATTGTCATTACACTGCAATGAAATTCACTCTCTGCATTTAACTAATCCACTTGGGGAGCAGTGGGCTGCCATTGTGCAGCGCCCGGGGGAGCAGTGTGGGGTTAAGGGACCCAGAGTGGGATCCTGTGGGAGTGGGGCTCAAACTCAGAACCTTGGGATTCCAAGCTCGGATTTAAGTAGATTAGAAACCTTTTTGCCACTGTGCCCAAATAACTTGGTATTTTTCCTTGTCTGTCTATAAAACCTTTCTCCATGACCATGCAGTTCTCTGTAGATCTTCACAAAGTTCCTCAGATTTTCCCATTGTTTTGAAATGATCAATACAAGTGCTGTCAAAAAAATATCTTCATAGATTAATGTTTATTTAGTGAATCAAGTTAAACCATCACCTTTGTGGGTAATTGTCAGTGAGTGGGGTATGGAACCCACCCAAACACTGATTCCTAAATTTTCACATTTTTATCATGTTATCACCATGGAGAACCCTCCAAAAACATGCTGGGTTAATCACAGTCCCTAAATTACTATGAAGATACAACTTCATGAATAACAACCTGTCATAAAATTAGATTTCCTATTTTCAATAACTGAGTTATGTTATTTAACTTTAGACATTAACATTAAATACAAAATCGACAAGTTATATACAAAGTTATTGAATTTATTTGGTTATTTTTTACCCAGGAAATACAGGTACAGCAAAGAAAAAAAATAAATAAATAAAAATAATTCCCTGAAAGCTTTTTTTTTCTCATTTCAGAAAGTGAAACTTATATGCTACAAAGATTATTTCTAGCTTGTTTAACAATTGCCTTTTTTTTAAATTACTTTTTATATAAATAGCGCACCTTAAAACAAAAATTGGTGCCAGCAATTGCTGCCCATGTAAACGGTAATATTGAACACATAAATCAAGCAAAGAACAATAAGAGTAGAGTTTAAAGACAGCTTTGTGAAACAATTACAGCAGGTTTAAAAGAAAAATCTCTTGTTGGTAAGGAAACCCCAGATTTATGTTAAGGTGAATAAAAATTGAGTATTTTAAACAGAAACATCACACAGATGGCTGCTTTTGTTGCAGTCTTTGGAAGCCAGCAGACCAACAGCAGCAGATGACATGGCAACATGATATTTGGGTAAAAATACAATATTATTTTGATATTGCAATATCACGATTTAGTTAAATTTCTCCCATTGTTTTAATTTCAAAGAAATCAATATTAGGAACTGAAACGTCTATGTTATATTGAAAATTGCCACATAAAAAAATGATTTTTTTCCCCCCACACCCTCTAAAATACATTTCTTTTTTTTTGTTCCATTGCACACCTGGTTGTATTATCTCTTATACTGTTCATATTTTTTATGATTGAATCCCAAATGTCTTATTGTTTAGTCAGCACCTCTGAAATCCACAAAATGCAATGTAATAGTTTGCGTTTTAAAGTTTTAGCATCATACAGGGCCCAGTTGGTTGTTATATTGAAGAAATTTCTTGTTTTCTGTGAGTATTTTCCAATGTTTATGTTTTTTGCCTTTTGTTTTCAGTTATTGCTGCAGATTATTTACTGAAATAATTTTTCATAAAATCAAGTTGTTTAATAGGAATATCTAAAAAAATAAATACAGCAAATTTTGGCTACTGTATTCTTAGTAGGGGTGAGTGTCGCCATGCGTGCCACAATACTTGGGTCATAATATAATATTATCACGATATTGCAATATTTCTATATATTGCGAAATTTTACCCAGTTTTCAAAATGAAGATGAAAAGAAGCAAGTTCTGTATATGTTCATCAGAAGGTATTGATCTTTATCTTGGTATCCATGTTGTTTGGGGTTTGAGTCAGTCCACGTCTTCTACTGTGACTGCCTCAACTACAGATATTTTGCTGCTTTGCTGCACAGGAAAAGAGCGCCATGATGCTATCTACCGGAGAGGTGGTGCAGAGGTAGCCCATCTTTCCTCATTGGTTTTAGGTACCAATTTTTTATTTTTTTTATTGATAATAGGAACTGTGCTGCGCAGTGTTGCAGTTGGTAGCACTGCTGCCTTGCAGCAAGAAGGGGTCTTTCTCCATGGAGTTTGCAAGTTCTCCCTGAGCATGCGTGGGTTCTCTCCAGGGACTCTGGCTTCCTCCCATAGTCCAAAAACATGATTGTTAGGCTAATTGGCTTCTCTAAATTCTCCTTAGGTTTGAGTGTGTTCATGAATGGTTGTTTGTCCTGTTTCTCTCTGTGTTGCCCTGCGATGGACTGGCGACTTGTCCAGGGTTTACCCCGGCTCTCGCCCATAGACAGCTGGAGATAGACACCAGCATCCCTCGCGACCCCGCTTGGGATTGTCAGAAAATGGATGGATGGATGAATGGGTGGATATTAGGAACTGAAAAATCTATATTATATTGGGCAGTCAAAAATCACGATATATCAGCAATTCGATTTTTTTCCCCACACCCTAATTTTAGCATATGAAATGTAAATTTTACATGTTGGTAACACTTTTAATCTGACTGGAGTCTAGTGGAATTGCTTCAAAAAATAAACGTCGATCAGTTCAGACTTCTGTCATTGCTACCCTTAACCAAAAGTGAAGGATTTTGTTTATAATGTGCATTTCTGACTTTTGTTGGAAACGGGCAGAAGTACGAAGTTCAGTTCTTATCACTGTTTTCTAATGAACATTAGAGGTACACTTGGGTAGTAGGAGGGGCGGGGTGGCAGTTTCTTTTATAACCTTCAGCGTAAAAATGCAGATAACAGCTGCATTTGCTGTATCCTCATAGCGAGGTGGGAAACTGTTAGAACTAGCTTTTAGAAAGGGGCAGAAACAACATTTTCTGCATCTCAGCTTTGTTCATGTTAGTCTCCTCCAGCACAGACCAACAAATGAGAGGAACTTGTGTCTGAGTGAAGAGTCCTTCAAACAAACCTTATCCCACCATCGCTGACAGATTGTTTTACCGCCTGCAGTCCTGCTGCCTCACCACTGTGTTAATGTGATCTCTAATTCTCCCTCCCTGAAGCCTGTAAGCCTCTAAAAACTAGCATGCTGCTTCATGAATAATCCGCCACCCATGTCAGAGTTCATTAAACACGACTAATTAATTTCAAATCCACTAAGTTTTTCTTGGCATCTTTCAGCTGTCGGAAATCTTAATCATGAACGATTTGATTCTGGACAAAAAGTTGAATAGAGGCATCTGTAAATGATAGATTCATTTTGAATTTATGCAAAATGTCTGCAAAAAGATGTGGATCTTATACTGATAAAAGCTTAAAGAGAATGTATGGGACATCTTTAACAGAGACATCTGCATTGCACTTTTTTCTCCTTTTCTAGTTTGAAGCCAAAACACTGAAGTATAAAAAAAGAAATATATGGATTGACAATGTCACAGCAAAAGCCCACTGAATTTCAGCACCTGATGGCAGAAGTGGTTTGTATTTATGAAATCAGGATGTAAAAAGGTGTTCACTTCACTCACACACAATAAGGCGGACTGCTGATGTCCAGAAGCTACTTAGCAGGCAGTTTGCTGAGAGGACAGGCATTTGTGTGCCAGCTCGCAGCTATGTGTCAAAGCGGGCTGTCAGAATGCAAATAAGGTAACAGGGCATCTGTCAGGCAGAGTCCGACCTAATAGCTGCATCAAAGTTTGGAAAAGAGTCAAATATTTCAGGTCTGCAATCTGACAAGAATTATTTGTTTTTGTTGGTGGTTATACATACTTTTCATAAACATTATTTTACTTTTAATCATTCTTATATTCTTTTCTCTATTTTGAATGAATAAAAAAATATGTTTACCTATTAAAAACAAGACTCTTTTGTCATTATCCTGCCTTTTGTCGACTTTTTGAGTTTTAATTTACATTTTAACTGAAATCATTCTGTTTTCTTGGTAATTGTTTCTTTTTCATTTTGTGTCATTGTAGTTGTTTTCTATTTATTTTCAAGCAGTGTTAAAGTTTTTGGCTACGTTCACACTGCAGCCTGAAGTGACCCAAATCCAATTTTTCTGCCTATATGTGACCTGGATCTGATCTTTTCATGGCAGTCTGAACAACACAGATCCGATTTTTTCCACTGCGACTCAGGCCACTTGGCTATGTGGTCCTGAATCCGATTAGAATCTGATCTTTTCAAATGCGGCCTGTGTTTGAACGGCCAGGTCACATTAATCCGACCTGAACGCCATTAGTAACCGACATAGGTCCCTATATTGCTTCTTGCTACACAGAAGCGGCAAGAAAAACAACAACAATGGCGGACAATGATGCGGAGAGCAGTATTTATTTTTAAC